AAATAAATAAATAAATAAATAAATAAATAAATAAATAAATGGACATGAAGAATCTCTTATGCTTTTTTTCTATAAGTTTTATTTTTTTCCCACTTAAATTTTCAAGTATCTGGAATTGTTTTTGAATACAGGCATATCTTGTTTTGTTGTGCTTTGCTTTATGGCACTTCACAGATTTTACACTCTTTACAAATCTCTAAGGTTTGTGGCAACCCTGCTCTGAACAAGTCTTAGCACCATTTTTTCAATAGCATTTGCTCACTTTGTGTCTCTGACATTTTGGCAGTTCTCACAATATTTCAGATGTTCTCCTTATTGTATTTGTTGTAGTGATCTGTGATCAGTGATTACAACTCTAAAAGCTCAGACGATGGTTAGCATTTCTTAGCAATAAAGTATTTTATTTTTTAGACATAATGCTGTTGTACACTTAAGATTACAGGGGCGCCTGGGTGTCTCGGTTGAGTGTTTGACTTCAGGTCAGGTCATGATCTCTCAGTTTTTGAGTTTGAGCTCCGCGTTGGGCTCTGTGCTGACAGCTGAGAGCCTAGAGCCTGTTTCAGAGTCTGTGTCTCCCCCTCTTTCTGCCCCTCCCCCATTCATGCTGTCTCTCTCAAAAATAAATAAAACATTAAAAAAAAGATTACAGTATAGCATAAATATTTTTATATGCACTGGGAAACAAAAAAAAATCATTTGACTTGCTTTTTTGCTTTTCTCGCTTTATCATGGTGCTCTTGAACTGAACCTTCAGTATTTCTGAGGTATGCCTATGTTGTATGAGGTGGGATCAAGGTACATTTTACCCCCTTATGTTTATGAAGGTGACTCGGCACCATATTTTGAAAGAACTGTCTTTCTCACTGCGTGCAGTGTTGCCTTTTTCATAAGTGACTATGTGTGGACCTGTTTCTGGACTCTCTTCTGGTTTTGGTCGGTTTATCTGTTCTTGCGCTTAGGACAGTCTTAATTACTCTAGCTTTATCATAGATCTCGATATTTGTTGGTAGTCCGTTTTCCATTTTTTTGTTGTTTTTCAATATTGCCTTGTTGTATTTCCACATGATTTTTAGAATAAGTTTTTCAACTTCTAGGAACACTGTCTTTGATTTTTAATCGGGATTGCATTGAATTTATGGAGAATTGCCATATTTACAATATTTAGTCTTTCATTTCATGGACATGGTATGTTCCTCCCTGTAGCTTTCATTTCTGTCCGTAAGTTTTGTAGTTTGCAGGGTACAAATCTTTGAAATTTTCATTAGATTACTCCTGGATCTTTGATTGTTTTGTATCTTTCAAAAAGTGTGGTTCGTTTGTTTGTCTTTAGTATATAGAAATGATACATATTTTTTTTGTGTATTGACTTTGTTTCCAGTGATCTTGCTAATAAATTCACCTGTGCTAATAGATTATAGAGTCATTTGGATTTCATTTTTCTCTTAATGTTGGATTTACTTGGTTTTCTCTCTCTTTTAAAAAAAGGTTTATTTAATTTTGAGAGCGAGAACTAGTGGGGGAGAGGCAGAGTAGGAGACAGAATCCCAGGCAGGCTCTGTCTGCACTGTCAATGCAGAGCCAGATGCAGGGCTTGAACTCAAAAACTGAGATCCTGATCTGGGCTGAATGAGTCCAGCGCTTAACCGACTGAGCACCGAGGCGCTTTGGTTTTCTGTTTTAAGTAGTTATATCTTTTTTTTTTTTTAAACGTTTATTTATTTTTGAGACAGAGAGAGAGACAGAGCATGAAAGGGGGAGGGTCAGAGAGAGGGAGACACAGAATCTGAAACAGGCTCCAGGCTCTGTGCTGTCAACACAGAGCCCGACGCGGGGCTCGAACTCACGGACCGCGAGATCATGACCTGAGCCGAAGTTGGCCACTTAACCAACTGAGCCACCCAGGCGCCCGGTAGTTCTAGTCTTAGACCTCTCTGGGGTTATGGAGAGAGCTAATGTTGTCAGGTAGTATTTAAAGGTAGTCCATACTGATCTTTCCTTTTATCTTTGTGGGTTGCCCAAAGCTGCTGAGAAATAGATCTGTCTTTATACTGCAATTCCAAGTTTATTATTTTGTCTCACATTAGAAGAGATGAAGATTATGATTCACAGAAATAGTTTGCTTATTTGTGTCATTTTCTTACATTTAGCATAAACATTGGCATAAACCTTTTTATTTTAATAGAAAATGAAATATTCTAATTATGTAAATGTGTCTATCTCCAATAGTGTTACTCAGGAATATCTACCCTTTTATCTTCAGGAATCCTTTCAAGTCACCCCAGATATGGGTCCATCCCTAAACTTCTATGTAAGTATGAACAACCCTAGTTTTCCTTTCTAAGTAAAATAAGTAGTTTTTACCAAATGTTTTGTCTCATCTAACTCCTAGCCATTATTTGGTGTATTTGTTTTGACTAGTTTGTTTAAGCTTTTCATTAAACAGACTGACTACCTGGGCATTAAGAATCACAAGTTACTAATAGGAATTTTTTTCTTTATAATATAATAAAACTATTCCTCTTAAGTGATGTGTAAGGAGACAGTATCTTAAAATAAATTCTCTTGGTTTATGAGGAAAGAAAGTTGTCAAGTAGTGATGAACCAAAGTGAAGTGTCTTAAAATTAAGTCCAACTTTTAAAAATCTCTTTACATTTTAAAGCGTAAGCAAGCATAATTTACTTACATACTATAGTATGGTTTACAGGAAAGAAGCTAATAAATTGCTTTAAAAAAGAGTGCCTGTGGCTTTTCTATGAATCTTCCCAGGTTAGCCTCTCTTTTATATTGGAAATAAACACATAATGATGCAACACTAGCCATGTTTAGGTATCACTTCATAATTCATTATTTTAAGGGATTTGTTGCACCTAATTTTAAAAACAGTCTTATGAAATTAGCAGGTCAAATGGTAGCATTCCCATTTTACAGGAAAAGAAACGGCCTAAAATCCTTCTGATTAGGTTAGAACTCTGCTTTAATTCCACATTTCTGTTATACTTTTACCACGTCTTTCCTGTCTATATTAATAATTAGTAAAGTAGAATTTATATATCTTAAAGCAACTTTATTTTGGATTATTTTATTTTGTGAAAGTGAATTATATCTACAGACTCTGTTTGCTCTAAGGCTGATGTAATGGTACTTGTACCATTATTTCGAGAAATGTCAGTCTTCCCGTACCAACGACCTCTATTCAGGCTCACATTTCTTAACAACTTTCCTTTTAGGAAAGATTTTTATCTAAATGGACACATTGAGTCACATTTTTTGTTTGTTTTTACAAATAAGTTGCTTGTATCATGGGATATTTTGCTGGAAAGCTTTCTTATGTGAAAACTTGCCAAGAGAAGTTCAAGAATCTTGAGAATTCCCCTCTTGGAGAAGCTTTACGCTCAGGACAAGCACGGCGATCTTCACCATCTGGGTAGGCCAAACTCTGATTTTTATTAAAGGTTTTTAATTTTAGCTAAAAAAAATTGTAATTGGATATTGCCATAATTGAGGGCATGAAACATTGCCTAACCTGAAGGACCATTGGAAACTTGCCATTTTCCAGCAAGTTAAAACTATTTCTGTTTTACTTGGAGTAAAATTTGTCTGCTTTTGTTTTTATTTGTTTTTGTTTTTTTAATTTTATTTATTTATTTGAGTAAACTCTACACTCAACATGGGGCTTGAACTTATGACCCCAAGATCAAGAGTCTCATGGCTTTACCAACTAAGCCAGCCAGGCACCCCTACCTTTGTTTTAAATAGAGAGTTGCATCCTATCGGGAATGCTAATCCCAGAATAAAGGATTTTAATTTGGCAAACACTTTTGATTACTATATTTTGGACTTTTCTTTTAAATTCCCAAATTTCATCAGTCCCATCTCTTAATCCTTCTGTTGTTATGTATGTACATTCTCCAAATTTTTGTTTTAATTATGTTAGTATAAATAAATGAATCCTGTCCATCTGGATAGGTAGATCAATCATGTAATTAAGTAGATTTAATAGATAAATTGTTATAAATGATAAAGTCCATGAATGCTAGTAATCCTTACGTATCTGCCTTAGCTAAATAGTGTTTATGGCCTGCTAGCTATGGAAGTAACTTCCCAATTAATGTGGGAACTGGACATACTGGACATATTTCTGATTTGAAGTACTTTTTTTCTAAGAACTTTAAACACATTAAAAATGATCTCTGAAGCTTAGGGATTAGAATATTGACTAATGCACTTTTCTTCTATATTAAGAGTGACATTTTTAAGCTGTATAAATGGGTCAGAACATATTTTTAAGGTTTTTGTGGTGGAGAGAAAGACTTCATTTTGCTATCATAAATGACCATGTTAAAATTACACGATTCCTTTAGAAAATAAGATAACTAGTTTTTATATGTTGACACACTTCTTAGGGTGTAGACAGTAACTTGTGTTTCTTATACAATATGAATTACAGGCACTATTCTCAGAAGTCAAAATATGACTCAAATGTGAGTGGTCATTCATCTTTTGTGACATCTCCAGCAGCAGACAACATAGAAAAAGACATGCTTCCTCATTATGAGCCAATTCCATTCAGTGCTTCTATGAATGAATCTACTCCCACTGGTATTACTGATCATATTGCCCAAGGTAGAAACTTCTCTTGAAATGAATTTCAACATTTTATGGTCCAACGTATGTATAAACTTTATTTGATCACCTTTTCTGCTGGATATCACCTGTATGTTCCACCACCACCCTAAACTCAGCATGTTTGTTGTGCATTTGTTTCTTCCTTCATTCTACATTTTGTGACGTCCAGTAGATGTCAGGCACTCAGCTAGGTATGGAAGAAGTGTAGATGAATAAGACGTGGTCCTTGTCCCTGAGAAATTCTTTTAGACTGTTAGAATATACAGAAATACAAGGAAAAATTACTAATGTGTCCCATTAATTGAAAATACTAACAAACTTTAGTGATCTAGCAAAGACGAAGTGCTAAATTGGACCTCAGGGAGGCTTCAAAGAAGTTATACTTGTTAGGCTGGTCTTAAAGGCTTTCAGCTTTTTTGTCTATAATGTGAGAAAAATAATAATTACCTGCCTTACAGAACTGTTGTCAAGTGAGAAAATCCATGTGAAAATGCTTTGTGAAGTTTGTGTAAATACTAGCTTTGAAGATCACAGAATGTAAGTGAAACACCATCAACTTTGGATTAAGGCCTGGATTTGAATGATTGACATTGGCTAGCTATGTGAATTTAGGCAAGTAACAAATTTGTGATTCCTTCAGTTTCTTGATCTCCCGAATGGAGATAATAATACCTCTCTTAAAGAGCTTTTGGAATCAGATGAAATAATCAGAGGTAATGCCTGGCAAGTAATGGGCTCTCAGCAGACATTCATTTCCTTCCTTCGTTCTTTCAATCTAGTTTGCGGTGAAGAGTAAAGAATTAGAAAGTACAGGTTTGCAATTCCTTAGCTAAAATCCTAAAATCCAAAAAATTCTAACAACCACAAAGCTTTATTTTTAAAAATTTTTGTTATTTATTTATTTTTCTAACATGGGGCTTGAACTCTCGACCTTGAGATCAAGAGTAACATGTTCTATGAACTGAGCCAGTCAGGCGCCCCTACAAAGCTTTTTTAGTAATTAAACTGATGATAAAATCTGACTTAATTCATTTTAGACCCTGACCTACACTGACATAAATCTATTTGTAATCTTTATCTTAAATGTGATTTTCCTGCATTTTGTTGTAGAAATATAAATGTTTGTTTATGCATTGCTGCTTCAAATCACTGAATGGATGGATAGTAAGCAATATAAGGGCCATATACTATGACATTTTTCTAAAATCTGAGAAACTGAATTTTGAAAAGTTTCTGACTAGGAAGGTTTAGATAAGGGATTGTGGATAGAACGTTCTTTGAAAACGCTTCCTTTGATGCAAATACCATAAGCCAGTAACTGTAAGGAACAAACAAGGTTAAAGGAACATTTGAGCTTTTGTTGTTTAAGCTGGGACAGATTTGGGTCCATGTTTTAAGTTAAAGGGAGAGAGGGGAAACAGTGGGAAGGGAGAAGTTGATTATAAGTCAAGGTTCCAGAGGTTGTAGAAGGGGTTCTAGGTAGGTCAGAATATAAAGTAGCCACTAAATACATGTAGCTATTAAATAAAATTAAATCAGAGTGCAAATTCAATTCCTCAGTTGCTTTGTAAGCATTTCAGTTCAGTAGCCACACGTGCTAGTGGCTGCTTTGTTGGAATGTGCAGATACAGAACATTCTGATCATTTCAGAGAATTACATTGGCCAGCATTGCTTTAGAGCAGGATGGGGTGGGGGTGGTGAGTATTAATTAACCTTTCAGAAAAGAAGAGACAGGAGAGAATGGAAGTTACAGTAATTAAAGACATTCGTAAGTGGGTGGAAGTTGTCGAGAGCCTTGACTTTTTTTTTTTCCTGAATGGTTGGAAACAAAGACCTCCCAATTAGAAAGGGAAGAAGGCTGGCAGATTAGGAGAGTGGTTAGTTATTATTTTATCTTCAGAGGCAGCTGTTCTATTTCTTACTGCATCTCTCATTTTGCCAGACTCTCAAGTCCGAATCCATTCTACTTGGATTCTAGCCGTGCATCACCTCTTCCTTTGTAATGATTTTCATCTTTCCTTCCATTTGCATTAGAAAATTCCATTCCACGTTACATAATTCCTTTTCCAAATAAAAGCAAACAGACAAAATGCCCTTTGGTATCTGCCTAAGGACTACAGCAAAGCCCATATTTCAGTATATTTTATGTCCTCCAGAACAGCCATCTCTCCATCCACTGCTCTGCTTTCTCAGCCCCTTCTCTAAATCAGGGTTGCCACTCTTCGACTTCTCTCCACAGGGGCCAGTCGTGGCCTCCTCCTCTGCTTTGCCCCAGGTGCTGTCCTTCCTTACCAGGACACTCTCCCCTTTTGTTTAAGTCCTGCCTGCCCTATTTCGTTCTGCTTTCTCTTACCAGAAATTGAGAATTATTAATCTTTCAAAGTAGAAAGCACTCCTTCGTAGCTGTAAGGAGACTTATCATAGGTAGTTTATTACAGTTAGATTTAAATCAGTGCTGTTTTATATTTTATTCCTTCCAGCTCTTTATAACCTTCCCAAAGTAGTAAATCATGCTCGCTACACAATGCAGAATATTTTCATTGGGCTTTTGTGAGTGGAAAAAATTCTCCCTAATCTTCTGATTTATGTTCCATCATTTGCCACAATTTCAGAACAAAGAAATATTTTCTTTTTGGTGAGAAAAAGTATTAGACCTGGAAGGAACTTTTAGAGATAGATAGATCATCTAGTCAAACTTGCATATTTCACAATTGAGAAAAACTAAGATTCAGAGAAGCTTAGTGATTTGCCCAAGGACATTCAGTGCTTGTCAGCTAAGTGGGAATGAGAATTGTGGGTTCCTAACTAATAATCTAGTACACAGTTTCCTTCACAATTTAAAAAATATCACTTACGGTGAAGGGAAATTAATTTAATAACTACTCATTACCAATGAAATGTAAGTGCTTTTAAAATCCAATAAAGTTTGTAATATTTTTATTTGCATTCTTTTTTAGCAAAAATTTAGTTTTCAAGAATGGTATATAGTATTAAGACTAGTTAGAAGTTTAAAGCCTTTTTGCTTTGTATCAATGCAGTATACTTTGTAGCAAAATAAAAGGTTATGGTTGAAAACATTTAATGTATAGTTATGTTGATTTGAAAATTCTGATTATTTACTGGGATCTTCCTGTGGAGTTCTAAAATTCCACTTAGATAAAAACTTCTTTTTAAAAAATTATTTTAATTAATATGATTATGTCAATAAAATGATACACCCAATTTGTGTGTAAAATTTTGAAAGATACTATTTTTGGAGTGGTGTGTAAGACTTTTGTAAGTTAAGTAGTTGTTGACTGAATGTCATGTTGGCATTGGTTAATTTCTTTTAAAGTGTTTATATGGCTTTTCTTGCTGGTTATACATTTTGTAAACTATGTTTAATATTTGTTCCTGTCATCTAATATTAGGAGTAACCACTTCCTGATTTTTTCGTCAGTTTTTGACTCTTTAATGATATGTATTCCTACCTTGACTCTCCTTGGGAGAGAGAAAGAATAAATGCTGGTTCCCCGGCCAAAATTATCACTGCCGCTTTTTTCTGCCTTAGTATTGCATCCATTAGATCTGAGAAAAATGATCCGTGCTGTCATTAAAGTCTATATTTTATACTTCTCAGTATGTATTTTCAAGTGTTTCTGTTTAAGTATAAAGATGGTAAATTTTTTTTAATAGTTATAGTTATTTGCATATAGGCTCTGGTTATAGGAACATTTAACTATACCAAGTAAAATGTGTACTATATCAGGTTTTGTTCAATTGTCACTGGTATGCTATATTTCCTTTTAATTATATAAAAAGTGTGAATAATTTTCTAGTTTAAAAACTAACATTTTCGTGAATATGAATTTTGCTGGCATATATTATGATATCCATTCTTCTGGCCCTGGTTACTTTTTAATTTTTTTATGTGGATTTTAAATTTTAGAAATAAAAGCTTAACAGTGTACAAGAAAGTCAATTTTAGTTTTGTAATGATCTTGGGAAAAATTTGGGATGGTGGTAATAATTTGAGCCTTTATTTTACTTTATTCTGTTTTTATTGTAGGTAAGAAGCATTTCTAAAATGTAGTTGCTTTGGATTTATTCAAATCCTTTTATCGCCATTTATTAACTGTTTGTTGTTTTAGGACCTGATCCCAACCCTGAAGAAAGTCCTAAAAGAAAAAATATTACATATGAGGAATTAAGGAATAAGAACAGAGAGTCATATGAAGTAACTTTAACACATAAGACTGACCCCTCAGTCAGGCCTATGCAGGAAAGAATGCCAAAAAAAGAAGGTATGATAGTTTAGTATGAATCACTTTACTCTTTAGGATTGGAAACTACAGCATTAGTTTAAAATATTAATTATACGAATATGTGATTTAACTCCTCAAGCAATTAACAAAATAACCTTTTTTTTAAAAAAAAGAATAGCTATCAGTTAACAATTTTTCCTTTTCTGAGGTGTTCCAGAGACCATTTGTGTTAGAAAATAATGAAGTCCAGATGGTAGTATGACTTAAGACAATGAGACTAGTTTTAACACATTGTAGAAATTATAAATCCATTTGAATGTTTTCTCTTATCAGAAGTCACCTTGGGGCTTGATAATGTTTTTTAAATGATGCATCTGTTGCATAAAACCGTATCTGGTGACTTGATAATGGGCTGTAATGCCACTTTTAGCAGAAGTGGAGAATCATGATTGAGTAGTGAAATTGATTTTCTTGTATGTTTTGTGAAATTGGAATAAGAGTTATTTGCCTTACAAACCGGCTTTTAGGGCACTTCCAAAAGAGGAGTTTGAGCTTTTTTTTCCAATAGTACTTTTACTTTATAAATTTAAATATCACAGTTTGTTTTAATTCCTTTTGGAACTGCTGTACATTACCCAAAGTAAATTTTCTGGCACAGAAGTTTACCCCTAATGGAAGAAGGCATTTTGAATTGGGGTTTGTACCTGTTTCAGTGTTAGAGTTTCACGATGTCTTTCTTGAGGAATTTTAGAGGGTATGTCAGTTGTTTCAAGGTTTTCTATTTACTACTGTAAAAAAGGGAAGGAAGGAAGGAAGTCCCTGGTACCTTCTTGAGAGTCCTACACCACCAAGAACGCAAAAATACATAAAAATCTTTTGTATTTTTTATTATGATTGTTCTTTTAGAACCAATTTTTAAAAATTTTTTAAATTGTTTATTATTTTTGAGAGAGAGAGCATGAGTGGGGAAGGGGCAGAGAGAGAGGGAGACACAGAATCCGAAGCAAGCTCCAGGCTCTGAGCTGTCAGCACATAGCCCGACGCGGGGCTCAAACTCACGAGCTGTGAGATCATGACCTGAGCCAAAGTTGGATGTTTAACAGACTGAGCCACCCAGGCGCCCCTTAGAACCAATTTTATTTCTAATCAGTAGCAGTTGCTTCATTTAGAATTTTGTTTTCCTAACAATGTTGGATAATATTACTGTCATGGTATTAGTGTAAAAAAAACCCAGCTTTCAAATATATTTGTAATAAATACTTGTTGATGTTTATCATTAAAGAAGCTTTAGCATAAACATTATGCATTCAAGTGACCATTACTTTGTAATATGTAAAGACTTATTGGTACTTGTTCACTAATTAATTTGAGGATTTAGACTGTAAGCTCCACGAGGGCAGGCAGTAGCATTTCTCTCATTTCTGTAATCTTTTTCTGCACAACGTAGTACCATGCCCTGATGTTTCAGATATGGAGTGTTGTGGTTGGGCCTTAGTAATAAAGGTTAACAAAATAGATCTTTGGCATTTGCTGGATTCTGACATTTGTGGTTTTGACTGAATGGTCGTGAAGTTCTGTCACATGACACTAATATGAAATAATTTTTTTCTTTGTAAAAAGAAAGCTGTGTGTGTGTGTGTGTGTGTTTGTATGCTTTATATACAGAATTTAAAAGAAAACAGTTTTGAAATAGTTTGGGTGATTTTTTTTTTTAGAATGTTCTGTTTTAGAGTCTAGACAGAAAATTTGACATTGACCGAGACATCACTGGTCAGAAAATGTCACCTAAAATATGTTTGTTGACATTCAGCTAAATCAGAAATTAAGACTGAGAAATTTCAGAAACAGAAGCTTATTATCAATCAGTTGTCAGGGCAGTGATAGCACCACATTATATATAGCTTCTAGAAGACTACCTTATACTCATGAGGATATGAAGGTTAGGGGAAAAGTCAAAATATGAGGGGGGAAAACCCTATAATATCTTCTTATAATAATGAAATAGTTTTAAACAGACTCCCCAAAAGAATCTTGGGGAAAGGGTCCCTAGTCCATACTTTGACAACGTCTCCTTTACATTGTTACGAATACTAGAACAGCTGTAATCCATCGATGAACCCTACATAGAACAGAGGCTAAAAGTAAGAGAGAGAAGACAGAGGAGCTTGTTTCAAAATGTAATTTCATGTAAGATGTAGGACCGTGGAAACTCTTTCCTTCTTGTATAGTATTACAGCTCATGGGAGAAAAGAATGAATTAACCACAACCTGAAGACTTGATCATTTCTATTACTATATTTTTTGTGAAAAACAAAATTCAAATGTTTGTTACTATATTTTATTTCCTGGTAACTTTTTGGTGTGTGCTATAATATATACCACACTTAGTATGGCAAACTTGTAAAGGCATGCATGCTTTGGACCTAAACAGACTTGTGTTCTGATTTCAGTTCTATTTGCTTTATTAGGCTTGTACCTTGGGCAAGTTACTAATCTGTTTTCTCACCCTTAAAATGGGGGCTGTGTTTACTTTATAAGGTTGTTACGAGAATCAAATATTTATGTCAAGTTCTTGATAGAGCGCACCATTATTTGTGTCTGAACTTCAGTTTGCAAAAGTCTGGCTAGCCCCTTTCTGTCATGTGCATTTATTCAAAATGAGAAGCACTTTTTAGTATAATAGCAAACTTAAATAGTATCTTTTACTTATTACGGTTTGGAATCATCAATTATTTGTGCTTTTTTCCTAGTCAAAGTAAACAAATATGGAGATACTTGGGATGAGTGAAAAATTGCATCATTGGACCTACTGAAGGAGTTTTCAATATCCAGCCTCATCTAGGTGGTCATGAATATCTGCATGCTTTGAGCTCAGCAGCAGTCTTCATAAACACATTTAAAACTAGAACCTGGGTTCTTGTGGTTTGGCTTATTAAAATGATGTTTAAAACACAGATTTTAATGTGAATGTTGTATGGCTATATTCACCTTGAGGAACTATATGAATGATGGTGTTATGCCATGGTCACATGCAGTTTGTGAAATTGTTTTAAGTTACAGGATAAGGATACTCTTCTAAAACTGTAAAGAGTCTGTAATTCTCTAGGATCAGCATATATGAAAATAAATGATAGCTGCATGTGGATTTGGGGTGGGTGGTGGGGGGGAGCAAGCATAATTTTAAGTGTTAAGCTTTACATCCAAAAAATTATTAAAAAGCCTTTCTCCGGTGTTTGCTGTATTTACTTATTAATGTGTATGGTAAATAAAATATAAAGGAACATGCATCTTCATTGATTTCATGGTGTTATTGTTTGTAATCTCTTAAAGTAAGTGGTGTTTCATGGGGATAGGAAATAAAATCATCTATTTCTGAATAATAACGATACAGTGACTGTGACTCATGACGGTAAAGAGCAGAACGCCTTAGAGTAGTGGCTGTGTTTGAAACATTTGCAAACTCCACAGGAATGAAAATTGGTATACTTCATTATTGACTTAATATTTGTTTCTGGTTCAGGTGAATGGAAAATGAAATTACGGTCTCCTCTAAATTCTGCTTTCTCATTGCAGTTCTACCAGAAACAGAATGTTCAATTAGCTATTGTAAGTCCCCAAACTCAGTGGCTTTAAAATGTCATTTATTATCTCCATTTTCTCTGTGAGTCCAGAATTCAAGAAGGTTTCCGCGGAGTGATTTGGCTGTGTCTCTCAGATGCCGCATGGCATCTCCTTTCGTCTGGGTTCAGGACCTGGTCACATCCCGTGGGTGGGTTTGTGGACGTCTCACAACATGGTGTTTTCGGGACAGACTGTGACCTCTTAAAGCTCTGATGTGAATGGTGCAGCAAGAATGTCAGCAGCTGCCTTGCCTTTTATTTCTGGTTTGGCCTCAGTCCTGTAGCATCATTTCTTCACAAGCCTTCCTATCAAAGGGCAGGAACAGAAGACTCCCACTTAGTCACATTTTTAAAAGAACAGTGGGGTGGAAGGTGTTGCAACTCTTCACCCTTTGGCCACAGCAATTGACATCCCTCTCATGCAAAATTAACTATTTTCCCAGGACCTCCAGTTCACATCCATTATAACAGCTCAGAGTCTGGGAGCGCATCTCATCAGGTCCAGTTGCGGAAGAGGCACTAAGGTGAGTGTCTGAAGTACCCTTTCTCAGGCTTCAGACCTGTGAACTGAAGAGAAGCCACCCGCCCTGTTCATCCCAAATAGCCGTTGGGTATCACATCACCACACCTACTCAGAAGGGGGAAGTGAGAGGCTCAATGCCAGTCACTTGTCCATGGCGATTCCCACAAGTCCAGCAGGCTCACGATGCCAGTTCTTTGTTAGGGCTTAGGCGTTGCCACCCAGGGGTTCACCGTAGCTCTCAGTCCTGCCTTTCCCCGGAATGTAGTTCTCATTGGCAGCAGAGTAATTTTTTCAGCCTTCCTCCCCATAGAAATCCAGCATTCCAAGACCTCTACTATCCCTGTCCAAACTGATAACAGTTTTTTAAATCTGTGCAGTTCTGAAGTATCCATTTATGATCCATTCCATTACACAAAAGCCATAAGTCTGTTGGGAGACGGTCCTTTTTCTATGCTGGGCGGCTCCCTGCAATCAGAAACCTTGGACAGGGTCTACAGGTTACGCCTATAAGACTTCTAAAGGGCCATTTGTGTGTCTGAAATGTTCTATGAAGCACTGTCATGTGTTGTTGAACAAAACCTTTTGTCCCACTCTGGATTTGGTCTTTGCCTGGAAGCCATTTCTCAGTATGAGAAACTTGTAGGCTTAAGAGACTTAATGAACCTTTATATTTTCTACAAATCACATTTGGAAGTGGAATATATTCTTTATTATTATTATTTTTTAATGTTTATAAACAGGGCGAGAGAGGGGGAGACACAGAATCCAAAGCAGGCTCCAGGCTCCGAGTTGTCGGTACGGAGCCCAAAGCATGGCTCAAACTCAGGAACTACGAGATCATGACCTGAGCCCAAGGTGGACACTTAACCGACTGAACCACCCAGGCGCCCATGGAGTAAATTGTTCTTTATATTAATTACATCTCTTCTCTCATTTTAGACAGCTAGAAGAAGCCAAGTGTCACCCTCAACATTGCCCAGAAATCTCAGCTAGATCAAGTTTTAGGTACATTTTCAATTTTCCGCGTCGCCACGGGTAAGAGTTTTGCTAAACTCTGTGACTCATACTCAAAATCTCTTCCAGCTTCGAATAATGTTTCCCTCTCCTGTGATCCTTGACAGTCACCTTGAGAGCTCTTTAGGCTTCTGTGAGGACCCTCATCCAGCTTTTTAGTTTTCACTAACCATGTCCCCAAAGTCTTGTCAGTACATGATCTGCCTCATTTTAGGTTTGTGTTATGGCAGCACCCCACTTACAGCTACCAAGTTTCTGTATTAGAGTTTGATAGAAAAGCCGAATTGCTCTGATACAGAGTAAGGGGGTTATTATAACGACTGGGTCTTTGGCAATTGTGGAGCTGGAGATCAGTGTACAGGCTTGTGCCTCTCCATCTAGTGTCGGGCCTGTCCTTAAGACAGAGATGCAAGTAGAGGGGTACCTGGGTGGCTCAGTCGGTTGAGCGTCCAACTTCGGCTCAGGTCACGATCTCACAGTCCGTGAGTTCGAGCCCCGCGTCAGGCTCTGTGCTGACAGCTCGGAGCCTGGAGCCTGCTTCGGATTCTGTGTCTCAATCTCTCTCTGTCCCTCCCCCGCTCATGTGCTGTCAAAAATAAACATTAAAAAAAAATTAAAAAGAAAAAAAAGACGCAAATAGAAACACACAGGGCTTGTAAGGCTTAAGTCTGGAACTGGCACACCTTCATTTCTGCCCCACATTCTGCCTAAAGCAAGTCATGTGGACAAAACCTAAGGTCAAGAGCTAGCTACTGTGCCCCACTCACAGTGGGAAGAAATGCAAAATTCCATGTCCGAAGGCAAGGATGTAAGGAGAGGTGAAGAATTAGGCTGGTAATACAATCTACGAGGGCAGCAAAGGTAACTGTTGCTGCCCCGAATTCCAGTGGGCCTTTCATTTGTATCTGTCTCATACAGACACTACCCCACATTGTATTACAGCTGTTTATTTACATATCTTTTCTCTACTTCTTGTGTATGAAAATACCCCCCTTTCTTCTGGCACATTGCCTTGCATATTGTAGGTACTGAAAAATTATTGTCGAATTAATGAAGGAAGCCACTTCTGGGCTTCCAAATCATCAGGCCTGTGGTAACAGCCCTGATTTTCAAAACCAGGGAGGTATTAAGGGAAGTTCCTTTTTGATATTTGTTTCCCCACCGTTATTAATTCCTCCCTCCCACCCTTCCCCTTTTGTCACCTTCCCTTCCTAGCCTCATTCCTGTCCCACCATATCTAGAGATGTCTCTTCTCTCTAATAAACCAAACTACTCTTCAAGGTTGTAATACATTCTTCAAGACGATCATTCAGCCAACAAAGATTGAGCACTTACATGAACACTATACATTAAGAAACCAAAGGGGTTAACTGAATATTTTCCAGGGCAGCTGACACAACACTCACCTGTTGAATTACAAATTTGAAACTCAAAAGGACGGATAATAGCATCATGAAATCAAAAAGAACCAAAGATATCATGCGTTAGACTGGAGTTCAGAATGACCAGCTGCCTAAGCATAAAATGGGGAGACTTGACTTAAAGGTAGGTCATGTGAAAAGCTTAGCACAGGCCAAAAAAGTGTGACACGTACTTTTGGACTCCAATTAAAAGTCGTGGTAGTTGTAATAGCTAACATCCCTTGGTGGTTATTCTGAGCCATGCATTATTTATTGGAAGCATTTTGTAAGTATTAACTCATTTAAGGGGTATGTGCCTGGTTCGGTGGTTAGAGGATGCCACTCTTGATCTTGGGGTCGTGAGTTCGAGCCCCACATTGGGCATAGAGAGTACTTGAAAAAAATAATAAGTAGTAGCTCGTTTAATCCTCATGAACAACCTGTCAGGACAGTCTAAAATGTTTCCATTTACAGATGAGAAATGGAGGCACAGAGCTGACTCAGTCAGCGGCAGAGCTTGGATATGAGCACAGAGCGTCATGCAGGGTCACTCTTGTCAGTGCACGTGCCTGAAACGAAAAGCTCCATGATTGCGGTCTTTTCTGAACCGGTCAATCCATGTCTGGGGTCTTGGTGTAAGAAAGGACAACACATACCAAAGGTGTCCCAAGACCAGGATGTGACAGGGCTGGAAACCCACTCCAGTGGTTGAAGAAACTGAGAGGAACATGTGTTCCAGTGTTTAAAGGCCACTCTGGGAAAGAAGAATAAGAATCCTATTTTGTAGCCACAGAGAAATTACAGGTGTAGGCTGACAAACATAAATGAAGTCCTTATATCTGACCAAGAACTCGGGTTGGGGCTGGAGACTCAGACATCAGTAAAAGAAGACATACTTCTCATCCTGGAAGAGCTTCCAGTCTAGGGGGGAGGGAGGCGAACCTGGGCTCCCAGAAGACCTTTCTGAACACTTTTGCACAGCTGGGCGGTGTAAAGCGTAGCACCGTAGATCAGCAGGTGTCCTTCCCCAAGAAGTACATATGTGCGTCCTGGAATCTCACCTGCCCAGAGAGTGGAGGGGATTCTCACAGCGGTGGGTGGTTGGACTGGATTTCACGCCGCAAACTAGCAATAATAGAAACTCCTGGGGTGCCTGGGTGGCTCAGTCGGTTAAGCGTCTGACTTCGACTCACGTCATGAACTCACATTTTGTGAGTTCGAGCCCTGCATCAGGCTCTGTGCTGACAGCCCGGAGCCTGGAACCTGCTTCAGATTCTCTGGGTCCCTCTCTCTCTGCCCCTCCCCTACTCTCACTCTGTCTCTCTCTCTCTCTCAAGAATAAAGATTTAAAAAAATTTTTTTTTAATGTTTTATTTATTCTTGAGAGAGAGACAGAGCAAGAGCAGGGGAGGAGCAGAGCGAGAGAGGGACACAGAATTCGAAGCAGGCTCCAGGCTCTGAGCCAGCAGCACAGAGCCCGATGCGGGGCTCAAACTCACAGACCATGAGATCATGACCTGAGCTGAAGTCAGACGCTCAACCGGCTGAGCCACCCAGGCACCCCCCAAAAAAATTTTTTTTTTAATTTTTTTTTTCAACGTTTATTTATTTTTGGGACAGAGAGAGACAGAGCATGAACGGGGGAGGGGCAGAGAGAGAGGGAGACACACAATCGGAAACAGGCTCCAGGCTCTGAGCCATCAGCCCAGAGCCTGACGTGGGGCTCGAACTCACGCACCGCGAGATGGTGACCTGGCTGAAGTCAGGCGCTTAACCGACTGCGCCACCCAGGCGCCCCACCCCAAAAAATTTTTAAAAAAAGAATACCAACTCCAGAAAGACATAGAATTCTGTCAGTTGTGTTCACTGTTGCATTTCCAGGATCTAGGACTGTGCCTAGGCACAGACTGGGTGCTCAGTAATTGAATATATGAAAGAATGAACATATAAAAACCAGAATCCTCACATAAAAACCTGTGTTATTTGTTTTGAAAAGCTGGAAGATCTGGCAACAGTGGGCCCACATATTTGTGTGTGTTGTGGAAGAAGACTGGGTTTAACATGCCACTACACTAGTTCAGCTTCACTCGATTATCTGGTCCTGGACTTTGCTGCCTCTGGGTTAATCACGGACATCTCTGCAAACTTTTGTTTTGTCTTTTGAGAGAGTGAGTGAGAGAGAGAGAGGGAGCAGGGAAGGGGTTGAGGGAGAGGGACAGAGAATCTTGATGCAGGGCTCGATCTCATGACCATGAGATCATGATCTGAGCCGAAATCAAGAGTCAGGCGCTCAACCCACTGAGTCACGCAGGTGCCCCTGTTCAAACCTCAAATGTCTATGAAATCAAATTCTATAGTTGAGCTCTAACATGGAAAAGTTTTGTTGATTACCAGATTGCATTAGTTGAACATCAAGAAAATGATCTGTATGACCTTTTCATTGCTTAATCAAGTCATTCAAGATAACTTATTACTTTCATGACATTAACAGACAATAGATAAGTCATTTATTCTGACAGCAAGGGAAGAGAATATCTTTGCTTAAGTGAGACATATTTTTTTAATGTTTATTTTTGAGAGAGAGAGAGAGTGTGTGTGCATGTGCATGCACACGCTCACATGAACAGGTGAGGGGCAGAGAGTGACAGTGAGAGAGAGAGAAGATCCAAGGTGGGCTCAGCACTGACAGCAGAGAGCAGATGCAGGGCTCAAACTCATGAACCGTGAGGTCATTACCTGAGCCAAAGTCAGATGCTTAACTGACTGAGCCCCTTAAGTGAGAATTTTTAAAATATATAAGCATTATATACAGTACCTCTTTTTTGTGTGTGTTTTTTTGTTTTTTTTTTTTATGGGACAGACAGAGACAGAGCATGAATGGGGGAGGGGCAGAGAGAGAGGGAGACACAATCGGAAACAGGCTCCAGGCTCCGAGCCATCAGCCCAGAGCCTGACGCGGGGCTCGAACTCACGGACCGCGAGATCGTCACCTGGCTGAAGTCAGACGCTTAACCGACTGCGCCACCCAGGCGCCCCTTTTTTGTCTGTTTTTATCATGAAGGCAATGCTCTCATAAGCTTATGACTAGCTTGGTGACGAGTGTTGGTAATATCTAAATGCTGCAAGACAAATGCTACTCTTTTGACACATCTTCCTGCAAGAAACATTCTCCCCACGATACATGCTTCCTAATATACGCAATAGAGAAAGCAGCAAAATATTTGAGATTTCTTGGATGACCTTCCAGTTTTCTCTTTATTGATTTCCTTTCACCCCGTGAAAGGAAAGATCACTGTGATGAACTGTTTCAATGAATACCTTACCTGCTTAGGAAAAGCAGAGAGCCCAAACAATAAATCCAATTTGACTCAGGAGAAAATATGAAGACGTCAGCTATAAAAACAATGGGCCTTTTCAACAATAATAGATTCATCTTTTCCCAGTACCCCAAGACTGATTTCAACACTGACTTGCTGTGCTTGGCAATCTGAAGATGTTCTGATCCCTGGGAAATCATTTTCTGGTTTGTAGGAAATAAATATGCCTAATTCTGAATTGTTGCCAATCACCCAGAGAACAGAGTCCCCACTAGTTCGTTGCCAGAGTCAGGAGTTCAACTGCATCCACGAAGCTAGGATTGTTGGCTTCTGATTTACAGAAATAGAACTTTATCAACTGAAAGACCAGGATATCTACTATGAAGGAGATGAAGTCAAAACCACACCATTTCAGGTACGCCTGGATGGTTCAGTCGGGTAAGCGTCCAGGTGTTGATTTCAGCTCAGGTCATGATCTCAAGCTTCGTGAGATCAAGTCCCACGTCAGCCTCTGTGCTAACAGATTCTCTGTCTCTCTCACTCTCTCTGCCCCTCCTCTAACACTTGTACTCTGTCTCTCTCTCAAAAATAAATGAACTTAAAAAAAAAACAAAACCCTCCATGTCATACACTTAAGGTTCATGTAAAAAGAAAATTTCCCAAATATTTTTGATATTTAAAATGATATTTCAGATCAATTATTAACTTCTGATGAGATTTTCCTTTTTATACATGGTTTCAAGATGTATTAATACAAACAGCTACACGTACGCACAAGCGTGCACACACACACACACAAACCAGTGAATAAATGGCGACACATACATAAAGCATTTTCCTGAGAAAATGCGAAGATGCAAATTAAATGTTTATGAAGGTCTCAGACAACCTGCCATAAAATGCAAGGTCTCCAGTGGAAGAGGTTAGCTGGCTGGTTGGTTGGTTGGTTTTTTCATGCAGAAAACCTGGTAGAATAAGAATCCAACTCCTGGGGTTGGATTGGCTTCTTCTGAGCTCCTTATAGCCCCAAAAGTTTATCATTCCGTGAATTAATTCTTCAAGTGATTGTTCCCATAAACAAATTGTTCCTTGGGAGAAGGAGGGGCAGTTTGGAAACTCAAGTTTAAGAACCCAGTTCTTTAGTGCTGACCATGAGCATGCTAAACAAGTAACCTAAAGATGATGGGTTCTTCCAAAACTTCACCACACCAATGAGGCACAAAGTCATCTATGTCACTGAAAGGGCAGTGGATTCAAATTCTGACTCTTTCAAGGGAAATATTTTTTTATCAACTTAAACATCTTGGTTCCTATATTTTAGAAAGCACTTCTCAAACCTAGAAGACACAGTCTTTCTTGTCCCGTGTTTCTACCTCTATACACATTGGTTTTCTTTGGGGCATGGCTTCCCAAGTTCCTGAATATTCACTCCCATCCTGTATCCGCGATCTTAAAACACTGGACAAAAGCAGAGTGAAAGAATGGATGGCCCAAATCAGCGAAGACTTGAAGCGCTTTTACTCAGCTGTAAGCAAGTTAAGGAATGCAATGTAATTTCTTTTTTGGTGTGTGAATGCCCCCGACAAGTTCTCAAATCGCAGACAAACATATACTGCTCACTTCAATTGAGAATCTTCCCCAGAAAGCATGTCAAAAAGAGAGAAGCACAATGTTTCTGTTCCACTATACATATGTTATTTTAAAGTACACTTGAAATTCTAAATGTGTACAAATTCAGAGAGAGGTTTAAGGAACTTCCAAAGCCATAGAGACAAGTTTAAGAAGCTGAAGGCTGAGAGCTTCCCTTCTCGTGTAATCCGTGCTTGATTTTGCACTCCTCACAGGTAAGCAGGCAGTGCCTAGAATGGAAGCAAAAACAGAAGTCTGTGCTTTGTCACTGGTTGGTCTATCTAGTCTTAACACAGCGTGACTGAGAGGCGTCTTCTATGTGGAAGTTCACTAGCCTAATTTTTTTTTTTTTAATTTATTTTGAGAGAGAGAGAGTGTGCGTGCAAAAGTGGGGCAGAGAGGGAGAATCTTAAGCAGGTTCCATGCTCAGCATGGAGCCTGACATGGGACTCGATCCTATGACCCTGGGATCATGACCTGAGCCAAAAGAGAGTTGGATGCTTAACTGACTGAGGCACCCAGGTGCCCCTCACAAGTTCTAATATTTAAAGGAAAAACAGGAGTTGTCTCTTGGTTTGAGACCACCCCCCAGAATCTCATCCCCCCACAAAGGTCAATAATGATCTTCACATCTGATGTTGTTTTCACAGGTTTCATGCTGCCTTTCAAATAGAACCCACTGTGACAAGTCAAGGTCTTGAAAGAAATGTGTTCCTAACACCAAACCTATCAATACTATCATAGAAATAAGTACTATTTACGGGGCCCTCACTGTTATAAATAATCACTCCTATTCCTTGTAACATGCCACGAAAACAATTCTGATCACCACTTTCTACAGAGGAGGAAACTGAAAATCAGAGAGGGTAAGACACTTGTCCAAGGTTACACAGCTTTGTAAGCAGTAGAACTGGTTTTCACCTGGGTACTCTAACCACCGGGGTAATGTCCTTAACTCCAGAGTCTCATGGCTGACACCTCTGAATGAGAATCGCAATACACGCCAACCTAGAAGGGTTCTGAGAAGTCCTGCTGTAAAGAAACCTGTTCAAATCCGGTGTGACCCCGTGATCGTAGAAGCCATGTCTGCTGATGAAGGTATTCATTAGAGACCTGCACGATGTCTCAAACACAGTAAGTGCTCAATGTTGAGCAAATGAAACAGGTAATTATTATTGAATAGCAACAGCTCAAAAATTGAGAGTTAAAGAGGTTTTTTTCAATATAGAGATATGTTAAAAATTGTCTAATATTGTAAAGTGGTGAAAAGGCCTTATTTAACTTTTTATAATTATCTTCATTACAATCTCTCAGTCAAAGGGGTGTCTGGGTGGCTCAGTCGGTTGAACATCTGACTCTTGATTTTGACTCAGGTCATGATCTCATGGTTGTTGAGTTTGAGCCCCACAGTCGTGGGATCAAGCCCCGCGTTGGATTCCATGCTAAGCATGGAGCCCGCTTGAGATTCTCTCTTTCTCTCTCTCTGCCCCTCTCCACTGCTTGTGCGCACGCGTGCTTGCTCTCTGTCTTTTATTTTCTCCAATAAAAATAATAAATAAATGAATAAATAAAAACAGTCCCTCAGCCAAAAAGATTACAAACCTGTTGCAATGACATGTATGGATCTAGAGAGTATTATGCTAAGTGAAATAAGTCAGAAAGACAAATGCCATATGATTTCATTCATATGTGGAATTTTAGAAACAAAACAAGTGAGCAAAGGGGAACAGAGAGAGAGAGAGGGAGAGAGAGACAAATTAAAAAACAGACTCTTAACTATAGAGAACAGTCTGATGGTTACCAGGGGGGAGCTGGGTGAGGGGGCTGGGGGAAGCAGGTAAAGGGGATTAAGAGTACACTTGACATGATGAGCACTGGCTAATACATGGAGCTGTTGAATCACTGTATTGTACCCCTGAAACTAATAGAACACTGTGCATTAATTACTCTGGAATTAAAATTTAAGAACTTAATAAAAATTTTTAAACAGTTACAAACCTGTTATGCCCTGGACCAAAACCAGCCCCACGGAGCTGATCTTCGACGGAATGGAATTTACTCTGGCACACTCGTATGTATGATGCCTTTCCAAGGGCAAATCCCAAGATACCCGCAACTGTAAAAGCAGGTGAGGAAAGATAATTGAAAAGCTCAGCATCGCCTCTATTAATTATCTTCTAGAACTTTCTACATTAACAGTAGTAATTCTTACATAAAAAGTACTGTGACAAATCAACGAACAAAACCTCTGAGAATGAGTCTCCCTATTAAAGAGCAGGATTGGGAAATGGAGGCTTTCTGAGCTCCTCAGTTTTGAGCTGGTGGTGGAAGGGCCAGGATAGAGCCAGCAAAGGTGCTGTCTCCGAGGCAGGCAGCCAGTGGGAGGCCCAGGTGGCAAACAAATGCCTGAGGCCCCAGGGCAGGGAGGGGTGGGCTTTGGGCGGTGGCCGTAGGTGGCTTCCAAATCATGGGGCACGAAAGGCCCTTAATTCTCTTGATGGGTTACAGTAGGGGCAGCGGCACTCCATCTTGCCTGCAGGGAAGAGAGCTCATGAGGCAGGGGGAATCTCCTATGGGAGAAATGTCCAACCTGCTCTTCTTGCTGGGAATGAGGTTTCAGACCCTGAACTGGAACGCGTCCTCTTTGTACATAACGGGTCTGTGTATGAGTGGAAGAAGATGAAACCCCAAGTTTGTGGGAAATGTATTACTAGAAAGTCTCTGATTTTTAAAAATTATTCATTTGGTAGGTCCATTATAGAAAATATCCTGGGGGTGCCTGGGTGGCTCAGTCATGATCTCGCGGTTTGCGAGTTTGACAGCCCAGAGCCTGGAGCCCGCTTCGGATTCTGTGTCTCCCTCTCTCTCTGCTCCTCCCCCACTCATGCTCTGTTTCTCTCTCTCAAAAATAAATAAACATTAAAAAATAAAAAAAAAAAAATATTTAG